ATCTGTAAATTTACATTACATTAATATCTTCCAAATTTTTCGAGATAAAAAGTAACAAAACTTCATTTTGTAAAGTTATCAGACCACTCCGGCTCAATTTTTAAAATAAATTCACGTTTTTTTTTTGACATATTTTTAATAGACATTATAAGTCCGTGAAAAATCTATTTTTAACTATTGAAAAAAAAAATTACTGCATCAGACCATTGCTCGTGTTTGTATCAATGAAATATGATAGTATTGATATTTTTGTATCACAGGTTTAATGAACATTTTTTAAAGCTTTTGAACGATAATTTTTAGTCAAAAAGATATTTGATCGTGTTTTTTTCAATTATTTAAAAAATAGATTTTTTCTAACCCTTTATAATGCTGTGAACACAAGACCGACAGACTATGTGTACCACCGACTCTATGAAGTTAGTATAGTTCACCTGATGATGTTGATATAATACAATTATAGCCTTTGTAAGAGGTCAATACGAGGATATATCGACCTGAAAGAATTATATGGACTGAGGACAAAGTCAGTGGTCGATATACTTTTTTAGGTAGATATATCCTCGTATCGAACACATACAAAGTCTACAAGTGTTATATTATTATTGTCAATAAGCCAGAAGTAGAGCACTAATTCATTTGATTGGTTGTTTCGATTGTGTCAGATATTCTAAAAATAACTGCGATATCACTTTTCTAAAAAAAATCGTATAATATCACTTTTCTATCTGCTGTTTTCAGTCTACCTTTGAAAATATAGTTGAACATGTGACTCTTTCTGAACGAACCAAATTAGTTAAAATATACACAATAATAATATATAAAGATATCATTATCACAAATCTTGTAACAATTCATACACTTGTATGGTAAATTTAGAAAAGAATACACGGCATGATCAATACAGATACTTTCCATGCCGATGATCAACCATGTTGTTCCTAGTCTGTTATGACCAGATCATTGTCCATCCCTTTTGAATGGACTGCTAGTATTTTCTGCAAGCATAAATCGTACAAACGCGAACTTGAAACATCTACGTTATACTGAAACTGTCGAAGGACTCCCAAAAAATAATGAATTATTGGACAAAAACGAGAAATAAAATCACTCCTTTTTCACAAGAACTTAAAACCAAGCCCCTTAACTGCAGGGCTTGCTTGATTATGATTTTTCCAAAGAAAGAAGAATTAAACGATGAGTTGGATGTTTTACGAGATTGTACACAAACACTCTTTATCATGTCTTTTCTTTTTGAAAAATACTGGTGCTTCCTACTTCACGAATTGAAAATAACGCACGCTTCAGCCAAAATACAGTGTAGGTTAGAAAAACATTATGGAAAATCAACCGTTATACGGAAACAGAAAAGGCAGATAGAATCAAAAGTAGGATTCAGTAGTTAAATCTCAATTTCTGAACCCATTCAAGCAGGTAGCCATTTAAAATCTGGATAAATACTGTCAGAAATTGAAACTGAAATTGAGACAATAACTATAAAAGAAGACCAAAGATTACATGCAGCCGCTTCTATAGTTCCTATAGTTGAATGCAGTCCTTAAATATGTCAAATGGGACTTACCCAACACCATCTGAAATTTCCACGTCATATTCCACACAACACACTCCCTGCTTACTTAAGAAGTTTTTGTTGTGAATAATTGATGCTTAAGTTTACAGTGATGAGGGTAATGCTTCAGAACTTGCAGCCGACAAGATGTGCAAAGTCTTGGCAATAGCAGAAATTATAGTTACATTAAGCAACTGTTTTTTTTACCCAATTTCTTCTTGAGTTGGCATTACAACTACACCAAGAGTGTAGATAAAAATAATATGATTGACAATCTAAATTCCCATGACTTTGCTGCTTCATACTCGGAAGTACGAAGATATCTCACTAGCTTAGAAAATTTGAAATAGGCAGAATCTAAATATGTCATATTTACCTAACAGTATTGCTGTTGAAGAATGTGGTCATATAATATAGAAGGGAGCTTATAATATTGACATCAATGCTGAGACAATTGATGGTAACAAAGACTTTCACTCCATACCTATGGCTGTCTTTCAGTAAAAAAAGACACATCAAACACTATCGTACTAAGTTGTTTTAAGGTTAAACTTGAACTAGAGAAATCTTTGACGTTTGATGGTTACAATACCAAACTTATGGCATGCTTACCAATCGACAAGCTAACAAAAAGTATATTGACTTTGTTTTAACTATACTTATGGAGAGATTGAGTTAAGATTTAAGGGAAAAATAGATACATCTGACTTATTTCAAGACAAAACTTAGAACCAGTTCACATTTCTGCAGAAAATACTGAAAAAATGGTCATAATTCGGATTGCTCTTACAAAAGGCTACCATTATTCAAATTTGAAGATACGTTTCTAGCCTACGCTCCGGTCATAGACACCAAACTTAGCAACATGACAACAGTTTATTGTACTATACCACTATGAAACAATGTTTAGTTCAGCCAAATGCTGTGCAAACGTTTAACCAGCAATTGTATGTTATTGGCCAACATGATAAATTGTCTATGGCAGACATTTTTACTCCCATATTATAGGAAGATTTCATGGGCTTTACTCTTTATATAGCAACAGTTGGTACGTTATTTGCACCAGCTTGGCTTTACGACGTATGTGTTGACTCTGGAAGTTATGCTCGAAATACAGTAACACATTCTTATTTGCGAACATATTAATCGTGGTGATCCAGAATTAACACTACCCTATGAAGCTTTCATGGTTCCTTTATTTAAAACATTTTTCAATTGATGCAAATACATTAACTGTATAAAAAGTATTGAACCAAACGTATGAAAGGCGTTTCTTGACTGTCATAATTGATTTTTGTCTCATCCGAAAGCACTGAAGGCATTAAAGATTTCTTTATTGTTTTTAAAGACCATACATTTGTTTGAAGAATTGAGAACACATACCGGTTTTCTTCGAGGGACCTATGTCATCAGATTTCCTTCAAGACCTTATTTTTACAACACACATAATTTGGCTTGTACAAGAATTTTATCGGGTGGAGGGTCTGCGGGATGAAGGAATCACATTACTCACCAAGCAGACGACGATGAAAACGATATCTGAGCTAAATATGTAAAGCCAGAAATATTGGAAAAAATTATTTCGTACAAATATATTACAGTAGAACTCGTGAAGGGTTGATACCCCTTTGACTATGCGAATGTTTAAACCCACTAATGAACAATGAGAAGCCCGGAGTTTTGAAAATGTTGTGCACTTTGCGTGTTAAAGGACCCTTGCAGCAATTCTTTCTGAGGGGTCTATAGTAGGTTGCCCCGCAGTGATATCAATATTACTACCAATACAATCGCAATGTTTATGACAGAAAAATATATGCTAACCTATCAGTACTTCATTTAAACCATTTTATTTAGTTACCTAGTGAAATATTTGCCGCTGGAAACCGGTATATAAATAAACAGAAACAAAATTAACCTCGATTCTTTTGTAAGATAGTGCAAAGTTCAAAAATATATCTTTAAATGTACAAATTTCAATTGAAAGCAGTCCGTTTTTTCCTTTTTCTTGTTGCCCATCTGAATTCCCTAAAAATTGGTGATTACATTTTTTTTTTCACATTGACTTGAATTTGAACTGCTATTGTTTATTCTTTCATTAAAGGAGTAATTTTTTGCCTTTTTCACAATCCAGATATTATTTTCTGACTTTTAATAACCCCTTGTGAAATTTTTTAACACTAATGACAATCTCAACTACCAAACTTTGACCTCAAATTTAAAAAAAATGCACCTTTTTTCGATTCTACGACCAGGCAAAAATTAAAGTTTAAACATTTCTCTAAACGAAAAATCATAATGTAGGTAGGGCGGTTAATTAAAGTAAAAATTTGTTGGCCTGGTCACTCCACTAAAACCCATTATTATACAATTAAAAGTAAACAAATTGCTTTCTTTAAAAAAAACCCAAAAAAACAAAGAAAAGCAATCGTGAACCCTAGAACGCTACATATAATTGAACGGTCAATTTGCTGCACAGTTCATGAACTAAAAACATGTTAATTATTTTAGTTGATATATATTTGCATCGCTCATGGTTATGTTACACGCAGAGAACAATCAGAGATGATAAAAAATAAGTAAACAGTTGATGTAAAAAACAAAAATAGAGCAGCTTTATCCTTAATTCCAGATTAGTATAATACATGCAAGCGAATTTTTCAGTTGATACCTACAGAACTTTGATTTAGTGGTTATAAGAAAGCATTTATTGTTGATCAGAGAGAAAAAAAAACCAGACGAAACTGTTAACAGCAAAATGGTCTATAAGAATGCCAATATGGCAGAACAATTGGCTGATCCTTAAAAGCAGTAATTGCCCTAAAAAGACGATTTTTAAATAACTTTTGAGTTTTTTACTATTATTATAATTTCTGGCAGTTGAGCAATTCAGGCTCTTATTCCCCTCATGTTTGGAAGCTACAGTAACTATTATTAAAATACTGCTGCATGTAATGAGTCAACAACCGATTTAAATTCGGTTCAGAGAGTTCTTCCGATTTCCAATTGCGTATCAGCATAACTATAAACATTTTTATTTTTTACAAAATTTAGCAAAAAGTGAGTCGATTTACGGTTGGAATAATTAACTTTTCACATTTTTGGCAAACTCGTGACTTCCTAACTGCAGCTTATTATCAAATGTTGTCTGTTTCCATTTGCCTGAATACGGAGTTTTAGGAATTTTCTATTCACTGTCAGCATAATTATACCACATTGTAATTACTTTGACGAAACTTTATTTCCTTTTTACATGTATAAACTTTTGTTTTTTTTTAAATCAGAAAGTAGATTTTAAAAATTGGAGTATCAGTGTATGCCATACAGTGATTCCGGGTGGACTGAAGTTCCCGGGAGTGGATATCATAGGGAATGTTTTTTCATTAGTTTTTAAAAATTGACAAAAAGTTACCTCTATTTCTTTACATTTCAGAATATCGTCACAGGATTTTGTTTTATAACAAGATTACCTCGTGGTGAAATTTATTTGTACTCTGCAGTAGCCAATCCAGATGAGAGATGGGGGAATTTTACAAGTATTACGATAAATCTGTGGGATGGATCTCAGAACAAGAAATTTGATTGCTGTATTTTCAACAAGAAAACAATGGATAATTTTGTAATGAAGGAAGCCTACATCAAGAATAATTTTGGATATTCTCCTTTGATTGCACGTCAGTACCAGTGCCATGTTCCCAAATGCATTATGAACGCAACACATGTTGGAATGGTCGAACGTGGGTCACCGTGTTCTATATTTATGACAACAATTCCAGTGTTTTATCCGAGCCGGGAAAAGGGAAAACTAGCTCTTTGTGCAAAGATTGCGTATGGAACTTTGTCACCACAACGACTAATTGAATGGTTTGAATATCATCGTTTGATGGGTGTCGACAAAGTTCTTACTATGGTCCAGTATCTTAATGAAGATGCATACAAGGTGCTTTTGTATTATCAAAAACTTCAATTTGGAGAAATTGATGATTTTCCATTGCCACTTCCAGGCAAAGTAATCGGTAAGTTTATCTGCTTCATATTGAAGGCCTCGCTTTAACTTTAGATGAAAAACAGCAATAAAAGCTCGGTCCCTTTTCTTTTCAAGGACCCGTTTTTTGGTGTTGTTTCATGAACGGATGCATCAGTTTATCCTTTCTTTGAAGTTGAATATTAGTGCTTGCTCTGTTCCGTTTGACAGGACTCCGTAATAGGTAAAAAGAAAGTCATCTGATGCGAAAGCGAGCTCGGTCTTTAACTCCCCGTTACACAATGGTTGAAAAAAGATCAGCTCAAGTTTTACAAGATTCGTCCTGAATATCAATCTAATTAAAATTAGTTCCTGGCACTAGCTCATTTTCGTTCAGTTATTTATATGTCGCGCGTGGGGCATATAAACAACCGAAGGAAAATGAGGAGCAAGTGCGGAGAACGAAAAAAAACTTTTCATGACAGCCAATGGGCCTTAATTCCGTGTAAAGTAATTAACTTTTAACAAAACAAAATCTCAATCTACAACTTATAAACCAAAGAATTTTTGAAAACTGCTCGATTTCGGAATAACGGAGTGTTTGAAGGAGAAGGGACGGCAGCGGGTATCAATATAACACAAAAAAGTATAAATTTGTAACATTTTAACTGATAGCTCTCTGGCCATCATATAAAAATATGTAGTATCATATCCCGAAAACCTATTCATTTAACGCCTGTCCCAGTTTTTCCCTTTTCACCATTTGACAGAAAATGTCTATGTTCACCACATCGAGAGTTCATTTCTAAACAAAACTGAAAGTAAAAAATAAAACATGAAATTCGCTAGTCAAGTAATGGGTCATGTAAGCTATTGACATCACTTAGCGTCCGTTGGTCGGTCGTCGTCGTAAACTTTTTCAAATATCTTTTCCTCTGAAACCACCGGATCAATATCAACCAAACTTAAACTGAACAATCCTTAGTGTATGTCGTATAAAATTCGCGGTTTTTGTTTCTGCTTATCAACTAGCATGGCCACCATAGCTTAAACTAAAACATAGGGTAAAATGCATCAGTTGTCTTATATCTTGAAAACCACATGTGACCGGAGGGAAAATTCTCAGAATGTCAACGTTTACCTTCTTCCTTTTTCGCCAAAATTATCAGATGGCTCCTTATAAGAGTTATTTCCCTTAAATGACAATGTTTGAGTTACTTTCAAGTTTCATTTTTGTCTCGAAATTCATAATAGATAGATACTAAACTTTAAACAGCAAAGATGATCAGTAATGTAAGATACTTTTTAGCTCACCTGGTCTGAAAGGCCAAGTGAGCTTTTCTCATCACTTGGCATCCGTCGTCCGTTAACTTTTACAAAAATCTTCTCCTCTGAAACTACTGGGCCAAATTTAACCAAAAGTGGCCACAATCATTATTGGGGTATCTAGTTAAAAAAATGTGTCCGACGACCCCGCTTGCCAACCAACATGGCCGCCATGGCTAAAAATAGAACATAGGGGTAAAATGCAGTTTTTGGCTTATATCTCTGAAACTAAAGCATTTAGAGTAAATCTGACATGGGGTAAAAATGTTCATCAGGTGTAGATCTATCTGCCCTGAAATTTTCAGACGAATCAGACAACCCGTTGTTGGGTTGCTGCCCCTGAATTAGTAATTTTATGGATGTCTCTTAAATTGTACCACATTTTACAAAAGAAAATTTCTTCAAATATTTTTTTTGGAAAAGGGGGGGGGGGATCATTTTTTTTCCCTTAAGATTTAAGAAATTATCAATTTTCCAAAATAAAAATTGGGGGTCACAATTTATTTTGCTAATTCTTTGTATATAGTTTGAAAACATATTTACTAAGTATTGCGCTACAGCACAGTATATTGCATAACAGCAAGAAATCTTCAATTGAATACAAATTCAAATCATATAACCAATTTCAAGTTCTTCGACTACATTTATTCTGTGTCAGAAACCCATAATGTGTCAAATATTTAATTACAATCCAAATTCAGACCTGTATCAAGCTTGAATATTGTGTCCATTTTTGCCCCAACTGTTCAGGGTTCGACCTCTGCGGTCGTATCCAGCTGCGCTCGGCGAAGCAGTTTATTGGCTTATATCTCTGAAACTAAAGTATTTAGAGCAAATACGACAGTGGTAAAAATGTTCATCAGGTTTAGATCTATCAGCCCTGAAATTTTCAGACGAATCAGACAACCGGTTGTTGGGTTGCTGCCCCTGAATTAGTAGTTTTAAGGAAATTTTGCAGTTTTTTGGTTATTATCTTGAATATTATTATAGATAGAGATAAACATTAAACAGCAATAATGTTCAGCAAAGTAAGATCTACAAATAAGTCAACATGACCAAAATTGTCAATTGACCCCTTAAGGAGTTATTGCCCTTTATAGTCAATTTTTAACTATTTTTCGTAAATTTTTGTAATATTTTGCTGTAACAACCAATTGAAAAACTTATAATAAACATGGCAAAATCAATTAAAGTTTCTTTGATGATCCTTTACCAGAAATGATATTAAAAAAATATTGTGTTCATGAAACAGCAGTACGGCATACTTGAAATGTGTGTTTTAATCATGAAAACTTAAAATGATAAATGGGTTGACAGCAGTTAAAATCAAACGATAGATTAGATTTTGATCCACACAGATTCCTTTAAAAAAAGTATTATTGTTGCATGGTTTCATGCATCAATTGTAAACAAAAATATCAGGTGAGCGACACATGCTCCTTGGGGCCTCTAGTTTGACATGTGTGCGATTCAGGATCTTAGGAGCCTTTTTTTAAATTGGTTGCGAATTCAAGAACTTATTATCTTGATATAAAAGCCATACCATACTTAACTTCCATATTTTAGCAGGTAGACCTGGATTAAGAGAGATACCTCTTGCATTAGTGCTTCGCGTCACGTTGCGAAGCAATTAGTTCCAGACGATGTTCACGCCATGTTAGTTAGTTCTGATTGGTTGCTTCTTGGTATGGCTAAGATTCTATTGGCTTGAATGAGTTATAAAATTGAGAACACGTCAGGAAGGGGAGAACAAATGATATATATATACGGATGGTCTGACAGTATGGGTATTGGAGACCCGATCGAAGAATATGTTGTTATAGGATCACATATTGTTGGATAAGTGCTGTTAGTCAATATTGGTACATTTATTATTAAGCGTTTACTTTGCCTTAATCTTTATAACACGATTAGTTGTATTCACATTTTTCACTCTGCATGATGTGTATGGTGGTAATATCATATCGGTCATCATATATAAAATACGAAATAAATGTACGTTTATGATGCTGTCAGACCGATAAGTAATTATTATACATTTACTTGTTAGAAGTAATTTAATTTGTTAAACTATCACATTATACAACTTAGAAAGTATGAGTCTAAAACGGTACTTTATTACATAGTTCAACAATACAACCAACGAGTGTAAAAGTGAACATTATAGGTGTAACCATGGAAACATGGTAAAATTAAAGCATCAATTTATGGGTCACTCTCGCCGTGTACGTTAGGTGGTAATAACGTCGAGAGTATTAATTTACTTGTACCCGACAGAAATAATTTAATTCATAAGAGAGAGTAAAAATATTCAGTCAGAATTAACGGTATCGCGTGTCAGTCCTTCGTCTAATGTATGTAAATTGTGAGTTTAACTATTTTATGTTACATTTTTCTTTCACATGCACTTGCTTCTGATTTTTTTTTACCTTCATATATAAATATAACATTAAGGTATAAAGGTACAAATATATGCTAAAAATGAATAAAGGAGATGCCAGGTGTATTTGTCAAATGTGTTTAGAGATTTGTTCCTTTGCGTAGATTTAAATACTGCATGACATCTGTTCTTTTTCTAGGTTTTCAAGACAGGGGTTTTGAGGAATACCGCTTTTCACTACCTCAATGCTCACATGACAAACAAGTCGGTGTTTACAGCTGCCAAGAAAAATTACAAGGCTACGATTATGTTGGTGTGGTGGACTTCGATGAGTACATAGTGCATGATCAATTATGGAGTTATAAAGATATTCTAAATGTATGTAATAAGGGCGGAAGCAGTACACAACTCATTGTGTTGAGCATAGCTATTCTCGCCTACTCAATGATTGTTCCACTGAGTTTTTAATCAAAAGCCGGATTTTGAAACTGGTAAAATTTTCAAGATTTAACATGTGTGCGATTCAGGATCTTAGGAGCCTTTTATTAAATTGGTTACGAATTCAAGAATTTATTATCTTGATATAAAAGCCATACCATACTTAACTTCCATATTTTAGCAGGTAGACCTGGATTAAGAGAGATACCTCTTGCATTAGTGCTTCGCGTCACGTGGAATATTAATTTACTATAGTAAACAAAGGTTTAAAATTTCGACTTTATTTATTTGAAAGAATTAGAAATTAGTTCGACTACATTAATAAAGCTTAAAAGGATAAACACGAAATACTTAACTCAATTAAAACGAATTTTATTCTTTATTAGTATTATTACTTTGTACTTGGTTTACAAACGCTTCAAGGAACATGCATGGTTCTAAGATTTTCAATACTTAACCTGAAAAGATTTAATTTGCCATTGTTTTACATTTCACAAACACTTTTCTGTGTTGCTACTTACTTTCAAAATATTGCAGCTTTATAAAAGTTTTACATATTATATGTTGTTTTTTTTTCCAGAAAGAACTGATGCCAAAATACTCCAATGCAGCTGGATTTACATTTAATGTCTCCTTCTTTATTCTGGATTGGGGTGATACTGGAAGTGGTGACCTATATCTTACTAAATACGTACAGAGGACAGAGCCTCGAGTAGAATGTTTTAAAAATATTTACATTCCCAATAGGGTATCTGAAGTAACAACTCACACATTTACACCTAAAATTCGATACAAAAGGTATGATCTGATTGTATTATATTTATGTCGGTGTTGTGTGAAATATATTTTGAAGCATGCATCAACCGATTTTAAGAGTGTATAGAGGCATAGTGGCATACCAGAAGATTAGAAGTACTTAGAGCTTGCTGTCGGTACTGCATGTAATTGGTAGAATTATTTGGTACAATATTTAATTGTTTTGCTTTGACTTCTGTTTTTGTAATCTTTTTATACGACCGCAAAAATTGAAAATTTTTTGGTCGTATATTGGTATGACGTCGTCGTCGTCGTCGTCGTCGTCGTCGTCGTCTGGCGTCGTCCGGCGTCGTCCGAAGACACATTGGTTTTCGCACTCTAACTTTAGTTTAAGTGAATGGATCTCCATGAAATTTTACCATAAGGTTCAATACCACGAAAGGAAGGTTGGGATTGATTTTGGGGGTTATGGTACCAACAGTTAAGGAGCCAAAAAGGGGCCAAAAATAAGCATTTTTGTAACTTCCAGACAATAACTTGTGTGTAAGTGTATGGATCTCTCTGACATTGTACCACAAGGTTCCATATCACAAAGGAAAGGCTGTAATTGATTTTGGGGGTAATTGCCTCAAAATTTTAGGAATTAGGGGCCAAAAAAGGGGCAAAAAACAAGCATTTTTCTAGTTTCATGACAATAACTTGTGTGTAAGTGTTTGGATATTTCTGAAATTGTACTACAAGGTTCCATATCACAAAGGGAAAGCTGAAATTGAGTTTGGGGGTAATTGCCCGAAACGTTTAGGAATTGGGGGCCAAAAAGGGGCCAAAAATAAGCATTTTTCTAGTTTCCAGACAATAACTTGTGTTCAAGTGTATGGATCTCTCTGAAATTGTACTGCAAGGTACCATACCACAAAGGGAAGGCTGGGATTGAGTTTGGGGGTGATGAATCATAAGGGGGTTCAAAAAATTTGGGGGGGGGGATTTTTTTTTTTTCTTTTTTTTTTCTTTTTTTCCTTTTTTTTTTCTTTTAAAATTTTCCATTTTAAGTTGGTTATTTCTGATTAATATTTAAAAGCAAATAATAATGATATGGTAGGAGATACACACCAAACAGGATGTGTAAATTATTATATAATAAGTATTGTGCAATAGCAAGAAATTTTCAACTGCACAGTATTGCACAATTGCAAGAAATCTTCAATTGCACAGTATTGCGCAATAGCAAGAAATCTTCAATTGCACAGTATTGCGCAATAGCAAGAAATATCCAATAGCACAATATTGCGCAATAGCAAGAAATTGTCAATTGTACAGTATTGCACAATAGCAAGAAATATTCAATTGCACAGTATTGTGCAAAAGAAGATACTTCGTATAAATTGCTTATTTCTTGATCAATTTCAATGGGGTTTTATTCTTGAATTCTTGGGGTTCTTTAATATGCTGAATCTAACCGTGTATTAAGTTTTTGGATTTTGGGCCCCGTTTTTAAATTGGTCCACATTGAGGTCCAAAGGGTCCAAAATTTAACTTTGTTTGATTTCATCAGAAATTGAATTATTGGGGTTCTTTGATATGCCGAATCTAACCGTGTATTTAGATTCTTAATTTTTGGTTCCGTTTTCAAATTGGTCTACATTAAGGTCAAAAGGGTCCAAAATTAAACTTAGTTTGATTTTAACAAAAATTGAATTTTTAGGGTTCTTTGATATGCTGAATCTAAACATGTATTTAGATTTTTGATTATGGGCCCAGTTTTCAAGTTGGTCCAAATCGGGGTCCAAAATTAAACTTTGTTTGATTTCAACAAAAATTGAATATATGGGGTTCTTTGATATGCTGAATCTAACCATGTATTTAGATTTTTGATTTTTGGGCCCCGTTATCAACTTTGTCTACATTGAGGTCAAAAGGGTCCAAAATTAAACTTTGTTTGATTTCATCAAAAATTGAATTCTTGGGGTTCTTTGATATGCTGAATCTAACCATGTATTTAGATTTTTTATTTGTGGACCCGCTATCAAATTGGTTCATATTGAGGTCAAAAGGGTCCAAAATTAAACTTTGTTTGATTTCATCAAAAATTGAATTATTGGGGTTCTTTGGTATGCCAAATCTAACCGTGTATTTAGATTTTTAATTTTGGGTCCCGTTTTTAAATTGGTCTAGATTAAGGTCCAAAGGGTCCAAAATTAAACTTAGTTTGATTTTAACAAAAATTGAATTCTTGGGGTTCTTTGATATGCTGAATCTAAACATGTGTTTAGATTTTTGATTATGGGCCCAGTTTTCAAGTTGGTCCAAGTTGGGGTCCAAAATTAAACTTTGTTTGATTTCAACAAAAATTGAATATATGGGGTTCTTTGATATGCTGAATCTTACCATGTATTTAGATTTTTTATTTGTGGGCCCGCTATCAAATTGGTTCATATTGAGGTCAAAAGGGTCCAAAATTAAACTTTGTTTGATTTCATCAAAAATTTAATTATTGGGGTTCTTTGATATGCCAAATCTAACCGTGTATTTAGATTTTTAATTTTGGGTCCCGTTTTTTAAATTGGTCTACATTAAGGTCCAAAGGGTCCAAAATTAAACTTAGTTTGATTTTAACAAAAATTGAATTTTTGGGGTTCTTTGATATGCTGAATCTAAACTTGTGTCTAGATTTTTGATTATGGGACCAGTTTTCAAGTTTGTCCAAGTTGGGGTCCAAAATTAAACTTTGTTTGATTTCAACAAAAATTGAATATATGGGGTTCTTTGATATGCTGAATCTAAACATGTATTTAGATTTTAGATTTTTGGCCCAGTTTTCAAGTTGGTCCAAATTGGGGTCCAAAATTAAACTTTGTTTGATTTCAACAAAAATTGAATATATGGGGTTCTTTGATATGCTGAATCTAGCCATGTATTTTGATTTTGGACATTGGACCATAATAGGTAAATTAAAAAAAATGAAGTTCTTAGACCACATTCTTTCTGTGTCAGAAACCTATGCTGTGTCAAATATTTAATCACAATCCAAATTCAGAGCTGTATCAAGCTTGAATGTTGTGTCCATACTTGCCCCAACTGTTCAGGGTTCGACCTCTGCGGTCGTATCAAGCTGCGCCCTGCGGAGCATTTTATTTTTACTTGTATCAAAGATTTAAGTGTCCTTTTCTGTACCGAATTTTACTGTTCGCTCTTTGATGTAATATTACCTTTTCACTGATCTAGATTTAAAAAGGAGTAGGGTTGAGAGCGTTCCCTCTAGGTAATCAATACAATTAGATAAGTACGAACATTGTATAGCAAAACAAGAGTACAAAAAAAACGAAACTGTCTCAATATTTAATTTTTCATTGTTGTAGGTATCTACTCTCAGAACACAACACGGTGATGCATCACTACCGAGAGTGCCCAAAAGTTCCTCAATGGAAAAATTGTATGACAGATCCAAGAACCACAGACTTAAAGATGGAAAAAATAAAGACTGAAATGACTAAACGTGTTAAAGCCGTACAAAAACATCTTGGAATTTATAATTAAGTAATGTGGTACAATGGTTAAATCTGGCTACCTGTCTCTTTTTGTATCGGCGAAAAAAATATCAGATTTAACTAATAACCTTTGTATAACTCAAACACTAAACGGAATCGTACTCATACCCAACCCAATTTTGACTTTTGGTACATTTTTCTCGAACATGTGAAAATCATGTTTTTATTTTGAACAATTACATATAAAAAAATGTCAAATAGTTTTAAATGGACAAATCATGTAAAATTAAACCAATAATTCAAATATAACAAAACTTGACATACCTATCGTATTCTTCAAATATATTTCAATTGACCATAAAATATAATCAAACAGAACAATGATGTTCTTCCAATATATTTAAACTGACCAATCAAATATATCACTTCAGAACAATTATGTTTAATTCAAACTAACTTAAACAATCAAAATTGTGATTTTTATTTCCAATGTGTTAATTCCATTAATTTATTGTACGTTTTTCATTTGTATTCATGTAGACATTAAAAAAATAGAATTTCATGTACTCAATCCTTTGGATCAAAGGCACAGGTACATACATTGTCCTTGTATTACATACATTTCAAGATTTTGTGTATATCATGTCAACGTATATGTGTTCCGTCAAACCGAAGTTCTCCTGTAAACTTTATTATAAACAATGACATTCTATTTGTTCCTGTTGGAGCAAATATTCTATACCCTTTATTCCTCCATTAGGTACAAATACTCTGAAATAACATTTCAGAATATTTATTCCATTTGGAACTAATATATATGAAGGAACTTCTGTTTCATGACAATCACTGTTAGTTATTTGGCAAATTGTTCTGCAATTTAATACTGAATGAAATTCAGTTGATCGATGTTTCATTTATTTAGAGCATGCATATTTCTCTCTTCTGATGTATTAATGCATTTGTCATTATCTGATTGTTTTTAACGTCCAAAGAGCATGGCAATAACTTATAATCCTGGATATGTCTGCAAATTTATATAAACATCATGCACTTCCAAACGGAGACTGTCTCAGTATGAGTGTTACTGCAGACGATAGAAGTCCAGTTACCATAATTCTAAACCCCTGTCATTCCCTAATGGTCAAGTTCGTGCACTGTTAAGGTAATTGTGGTGCCACATAGGTCTATGTTGACCACAGTGGGAATCATATTGAGAAAACAAACAGTCCCTTAATAGTATCCCCTATTCCGTGTGGAAAGCTAAATCTATAACATCTTAAACTTCATTTAATGGAAAATTTCTCATGGGTATTAACTTTCGGAAGTGTCTGATGTGTATAGATTAAAAATTTCAATTTAATTCGTATATATTTAAATACAACATGTCAATGTCCTCATTTTACAATTTCAGAAAACATATGTCATTTAATTCGTATTGAAAAAGCTACTTCAACCTGTTTAAAAGTCAAATCTTTGTCACAGATGTTAACAAAACCTTGCATACAACTAGGCCGTGCTGAGCTTTAATAACTTAACGTCGAAATAATGTTTTTATTAAACTTTCATTTTCTTCAATATGACGCAATGCAAAAAGTAACACATATTAACCTTTTATATATAGAATAAAAAAATCAAAAGGCGATTCTATACGTTAAACGAACAATTGTTAACAGATTAATACCAGTATAAAAAAAGATATCTAGATGACGATATGTGCCAAAAATTTGCTGAAAATTCTTTTTTTTTTCATGAACACTTTTAACAAACAAAGCAAAAAGAAAACATTTCGGTTCCATAACTCCCTTCAACAGAATGAATGTAGATTTATACGAAGTTTGAGCTAGTTCATATGTATGAAACAAGATTCACATGGTTTGGAGACCATCAAATGTTTATGCCGCAGCAGGTATTATTTTGAGATTGTATGGCTACTTCCGAAGTTTCTCTCACGAACATTTTGATTTTTTAATGATTTTATAATCTTAAAAAGGTCTGAACAAATTTTGCGATTAATTCTCTTCCACATGACAGTTGCATTTCTAAAGAGTGCTAAACAAAGAAGATAGAAGTATCGGACAAATCAGAGGCGTTGTCGTCATTATCAGAGATTTTAGTAAAAGGCATCGAGCAAAAGAATATAAGTCAGGGAGATTTCGGGTTATTGTAAATAAGGCAAACGGTTTTCATCAAGATAAAAGAAGGCCAAAGATACTAAAGGCATATGGAAACTCAAAAGTTGATAACATACTGACAACGCCATTGTAAAAAAATAAGAAAACGACGAAAAGACAAACAAAACAGTCTTCAAAACACAGAATAAAAATAAGACTGAACGATGAGAACCCCACCAAAATTCGGCAATATATAAGTGGCTATATATTATTATACCTGTGTATCAAGCTCTAGATGTTACTAGTTACATAGTGTGCTAGTGACCTAATACGGTATATATGGGGTCAGTAAATTCCATATGGGGTGAGAGCGAAGCTCCTGTGTAACGAATTTATTACCGACTATCTTAACATGTGGCATTTAGACCAGTGGCCTATCAAAGTGGTCAAGTCTTCAATATAAAGAACATACTTCCATTGGTCTATACAAAAACAAATGCCACCAATAACAACTTGTTAACTTTTAATGTGTATTCTGCATTTATTTCAATCGTTCATCATCAATTTCTGCGTTTGTTGAAACAATTCAGATGTTTCCTCAACGCCGTGTTGTTTTTATAAAGGGACGTAACACCACCACTAACTGTGTATTAAAATTATTTATCTTACCTCCTATACATAGAAATTGATGATGAACGATTGAAATAAATACAGATGATACACATTAAAAGTTAACAAGTTGTTATTGGTGGCATTTGTTTTTGTATAGACCAATGGAAGTATGTTCTTTATATTGAAGACTTGATCACTTTGATATGCCACTGGTCTAAATGCCACATGTTAAGATAGTCGGTAATAAATTCGTTACACAGGAGCTTCGCTCTCACCCCATATGGAATTTACTGACCCCATATATACCGTATTAGGTCACTAGCACACTATGTAACTAATAATGTTCGACTTATCAGAAGACAGTTTCTTTTAGTAGACAACTTAAAATATTAGATTAGCATTTGCAAGTCATGTATTACTTTGACACGTATGGTTGGAGTATTTCCCAAAATTGTGACAGCGTAAATTGGTGAAAAATAAGAAAAAAATCAAATTGAAATGAGTTAAAGTCCAAAATAAAAATAAAAAGGCTGCAGTTCTGGATGCAAAGATGTTGAAAAAATTAAGCTCAAAAACATCGCTGATATTTTATTGTCTAGAAAGACAATAATTTAACATTATTAGGGTCCGTATGCATGTTTTATTAAAATTTTGTCTTTCGCAATTCATAATTTTACTATAACACATGCAACCTTTAATATCTGACCCTATGTTGGATATGGATAGCGCATGTGCTCTATTGTTCAGTTATTAAAAAGAAAAAAAAAATATACAGGTAAAACATTGATTCACATCGAACATTGAAATCTAACAGACCAAAATTATATTTTCGACTTATATCAGAAGACGGGCAGTAAAATTTCTTTTAGTATAGACAATTTCACTTTTCTCGACAAATTGTGACAGTGTAATATATGAAAATTCTATTGGAATTATTTAAGTAAAATATCGAAATAAAATTTGAATGGCAGCAATTCTGGACCCATATTTGTTAAATATTCTTACTGACATCTAACAAATACTGCCAATTTCTTACTCAGAGTTGGTTATTGTTGTTTGGCCATAGTGTGTTCTGTTATGTCCACTTATCTTAGGAGCTACTGTTATGTCCAATAATCTTAGGGGTTACTGTCATGTCCAATAATCTTAGGGATTACTGTTATGTCCAATAATCTTAGGGGTTAGTGTTATGTCCAATAATCTTACGAGTTAACGTAATGTCCAATAATCTTCTGGGTTAACGTTATGTCCAATAATCTTCTGGGTTAACGTTATGTCCAATAATCTTAGGGGTTACTGTTATGTCCAATAATCTTAGGGGTTACTGTTATGACCAATAATCTTAGGGGTTATCGTTATGTCCAATAATCTTGGGGGTTCCTGTTATCCTTTTTGTGTTTCATGTAAAGGTTGATAACTGATCATTCGAATTAGACAAAATAAATTAGTCGATGCCGGATACGAAATTCAGGCTAATAAACCGCAATAAAATGCTCCGCTGGGCGCAGCTTGATACGACCGCAGAGGTCGAACCCTGAACAGTTGGGGCAAGTATGGACACAACATTCAAGCTTGATACAGCTCTGAATTTGGATTGTGATTAAATATTTGACATAGCATAGGTTTCTGACACAGAATGAATGTGGTCTAAGAACTTAAAATTTTTTTAATTTACCTTTTCAAACCATATCATTATTATTTGCCTTCATATATAAATCAGAAATAACCAACTTAAAATGGAAAATTTTAAAGAAAAAAAAAGGAAAAAAAGAAAAAAAAAAAAAAAAAGGAAAAAAAAAATCCCCCCCCAAATTTTTTGAACCTCTTATGATTCATCATCCCCAAACTCAATCCCACCCTTCCCTTTGTGGTATGGTACCTTGCAGTACAATTTCAGAGAGATCCATACACTTGAACACAAGTTATTGTCTGGAAACTAGAAAAATGCTTGTTTTTTGGCCCCTTTTTGGCCCCAAATTCCAAAACGTTTAGGGCAATTACCCCCAAACTCAAACCCAGCTTTCCCTTTGTAATATGGAACCTTGTAGTACAATTTCATAAAGATCCATACACTTACACAAAAATTATTGTCCTGAAACTAGAAAAATGCTTGTTTTTTGCCCCTTTTTGGCCTCTAATTCCTAAAATTTTGAGGCAATTACCCCCAAAATCAATCCCAGCCTTCTCTTTGAGGTATGGTACCTTGCATTACAATTTCAGAGAGATACATACACTTGAACACAAGTTATTGTATGGAAACTAGAAAAATGCTTATTTTGGCCCCTTATTCCTAAACGTCTTGGGCAATTACCCCAAAACTCAATTCCAGCTTTTCCTTTGTGATATGGAACCTTGTAGTACAATTTCAGAAAGATCCATACACTTACACACAAGTTATTGTCATGAAACTAGAAAAATGCTTGTTTTTTGCCCCTTTTTTGGTCCCTAACTCCTAAAATTTTGAGGCAATAACCCCCAAAATCAATCCCAGCATTTCCTTTGTGGTATGGAACCTTGTGGTACAATGTCAGAGAGATCCATACACTAACACACAAGTTATTGTCTGGAAGTTACAAAAATGCTTATTTTTGGCCCCTAATTCCTTAACTGTTGGTACCATAACCCCCAAAATCAATCCCAACCTTCCTTTTGTGGTATTGAACCTTATGGTAAAATTTCATAGAGATCCATTCACTTAAACTAAAGTTAGAGTGCGAAAACCAATGTGTCTTCGGACGACGACGACGACGACGACGCCGCCGCCGCCGCCGCCGACGACGACGACGCCAACGTCATACCAACATACGACAGCAAAAATTTTTTGCGGTCGTATAAAAGATGTG